ATATGCCGGTCCAGATTGAACGATGCCTTACAATTCAGACGCCTCCGAACCCCTGGAACTTGTCGCCCACTTTCCGTACCTTTCCGTACCTTTCCGTACCTTTCCTACTGCCAGAACGAACGTTTTCCCAGGAGGTTCGCAGCCTACTTGGAGACATATTGCACGTCTCCGCGGACAGACTTTTGCCTTATCATGTTCCTTCCACAGCGATTGTGGCCAAGAGCCACCCGAAGATCAAGGACGTCTTGTTCTCGCAAGCAGGTGCTACAGCAGTGGGATCGCGCAGTCTCACCACAACAGGCGGGTATTGTGTGTTGTTTGCGCGGCTGTTCTTCAACGACACCCCAATCTGTCGGTCGTACAAGGGCCAGTACAAGGGCATGTGGCCCACATGTGGCATCATCTGCCACCTTGTTGAGCTTGCCGGATAATCTTGCATGTACTGCCAGTGCCAGCTGCAACAACACCGTATGCATGGACGATGAGTCTCATTGGCTTGTATTCCTGCGAGCTGTGAAGGATTGGATTCAGCACCGCGGGCTGGTTCACTACCCGGAGCAGAATATTAGACATGCCTGGGAGACGCTGAGAAAACAACATATGTTGTCGTTGAACGATCACTGGGCCGTGCCTCTGGTTCAGCAACTTCGCCGAAAGACTCGAGGCCTTGTGTGGCATGTCCGTGTCCTTGAAGGATCGCATGCTCTTCTGCCCTGTCAAGTGTTGGATGATGCTGCAGCACACGCTTACAGCAGCTTCGGTTTGCCAGCCACTTCCTTGAGTTCCTCCCCAGTGATGACACAAATGGAGCGAGCAGTCCCAGCCAGAATCATGGATGTCTTTCCTTTTCGCTTTGCATCACGGACGTCGCACGTCTCATGGGCGTACATTCTACCCAAGTTCAAGAGAGAATGGAAAGCAGGACGCCCCATAGTGCGTTTTTCTGCTTACCCCGCACGTCGCTTTCTTATCGTCATGGCACGAGTCACTGAGATGTTAGTTGCTGGCGTCTGTCCCCAGTCCAGATCGTACAGTGCTGGAATTCTACTCTGGGGAGACGTACGCCGGTTGTTTGACCAACCCACATCCCAGGTGGCAACGCCTGCCAGTTTCCTCGCCATGCCTAATCAGGACCTGTCAGGTTTCTTCGTCAGCATCCCGTTGGAGCGGTTCATCTTGACCTTCCGCATCCTACTCTGGAAGTTTTATGTCCTTCATGAAGATGACCTGGAAACCTCATTTAAGGCTGGACTGTCACTGTGGACTTTACTGTTAACCTTTCGGTCATGCAAACTATTCGAAGAAGACATTGCCCTGTTTATGACAAGAAGATCGCTGTACCAATGGATCTGTTCTTGGACGCGATGCAGGTTTCCTTCAAGTTCACGTTGTTCACAGTCGGCGGCCAGACAGTTCGACAACTACGTGGAGCTCCTATGGGAAGTCACTTTTCGCCTGCTGCATGCCATGCGGTAGTAAGTCTTTGCGAGCACTTGTATTTTAGACATTGCCTTCTACAATCTGCAAACATGTTCAATTATTTCTTGGTCGTCCGGTGTGTGGACAACCGGTTGAGTCTGCTGTATCAGGATTGCGCGGAGAACGTGGTGTGCAGGCTGTCTTGCATCAAGACGTATACGTTCCACCGATTCTGTTGGAATATGAAGAAGGCAGTGTATTTCTTGGGTTCGAGGTCGCTGCCGAGCAGCGTACTGTCAAGTACGTCCGCTGCGAATACTCGGACATCGCTGAGCAGCTCTCGCTCTCGTGCTCACCTGATTGCTAGAGTAGCTGCTAGAGCCTCATGGCCAAAGGCAACGAGATCAAGATCTTCAGCTTCTAAGGCACGCATACCTTTCCCAAAACTTTGATGAGCGCCTCCCCCATCTTGAAGCACATTAGACTTCAAGCCGAGTATCGTTGCCGCCCAGAGGATGACTAAAAGCGTTGACCTACGTTCGCCCCGCTTGTTGTGTGCGGATTGCGTTGCCTTGTCTTCACGCGTAAACGCTTACGTGTCATGTCGTGTGCTCGAGACCTACGATTACTTTGCAGTTGTAGGTTGGACTACATCTCGTGATGCAATGGCATCGTCATCGGGCGATCGGCTCCATTTGTCTCCGAAGTCTTCGGGCCCTCCTGGGCCAGTGAGCTCGTCGGTTGAAATGTACATTCTCAGGCGAGTTACTCAGGAAGTCAACAGAGCCCTTCGAACCCCAGATCACAGTTGCCAGCAGGCCAACAGCTGTCTTTTCCACCTCCGCCCAGAACGCCGGCTCTGCCGTCGAGTGAGTCCTCTGCGAGGGCGCCGATCCCTCATGCTCCTCCCGCTACACCCTTCCTCACCCTCACCTCAGGCCATGGATCGACTACCAACAGCATTGACATACGCAATGAAGCCATGGCGATCATGATGCTGGAACGTCTTGCTTTGCCGCGTCGCCGATCCAGCCGCTCACGCAGCCCGCCGATTCATCCGTGCCCACCGTTGCCACGACGTCGGCAGAGTATAACAGCCCATGCAGAAGAGCCTGAATCATCGACAGTGCTGGGCGTTGCAAAAGCGGCCCTAGAGGAGTTCGCAATCCCGTCCGGCCCACCACTTCCTTCACCTTCACCTGAGTGGGTACGAGTGCAAACTGCGGACAACACGCAGTGTTCTCTCTCTCTCTGTCTCTGTCTCTTCGTTGACCCTTTCTGTACTCTGTACAGTGCCTCTGTCTCATGTACAATGACATATCTGAGCACTTGCACTGCAGTCCATCTTTCTGGCTTCAGCAGGACTCATGAAGAGATGTTCCTTGCAAGCAGGTTTCCCAAGCCATAGTGATTTCATTCAGGTGCTGCTTCAAATACCGCCGGATGTATGCACGCAGGGTCAAAGTCTCTCTCTGCACGTGACGATAGCGAAGGAGGACAGCATCGATGACCTGAGGCTTGCATTGCAGCACGCTGTCCATGAAAGAACACATCGCTGTCCACATATCAGTTCGTTCCATCTACGTCAGCACGGTCGACACCTTGAATACACTGCGTCTGCATCTGTTCTCATTCCGCTCACGCCAGTTGTTTTTGAGCGTACCGCACTTGATCCATGACGACATGTTCTGGCATGTAAGAAGTGTGCGCCAGCTTTATTGACCTTCCTTGTCATACATGGAGTACCAGATTGCGCATTTGATGTCTCATGATCTATGGCTTGCACGTGCCGGTTTGCACTTTTGTTTTCGTCGAATTTCTTTCGTGTTTGGCACAAATTGCATGAGTTGACATTTCTGATACCAATGTTCTCACCCGTCGCTACCTAGTAGTCGTTGTGGCAGAAATGTGGCAGTCCTCCGGTCTATGGTGCTGGATTACGTGGAAATGACAGTTAATATTCGAGTATCATGCTTCGGCGCGACGGCCAGACAGGCCTGGCAGCAATCCCACGGATGCCATGTATTCCCAACTCATGGCCAGGCGATTGATACATGGCTACAACAATTCTTGCTTTTCCCGTATTCGCCCTCAAACGGTTCGATGTGATGAGCATGAAATGATTTACATTGTTCAACACTGTGATTGCATTGGTTGTCCACCTGGCCACTTGATGCCTGATGTACACGCATGTGTGCAGCTGGGCGCGGTCCATTCAGTCTGGCGAGCTCAATTGACTCGCCGGTTCGCTGGTATACTACCATTTATTCCAGTCGACTTCTTTCTTCGCAGACATTCAATTATTCAGCAGGCGGATTTCTGTTATCAATTCCAGAATGGTAGTGAGCGCGTGGAGGTAGCTGACTTCATCCTTTTGAATGCATTTCATTCGGAACTGACTTTGGAGCTTCTCGCATCTGATGAAACAATGAGCGATCCGTCCTTGGACTAAATGCTTGCCCCAATTGGGGCCTGTTTGTGTTATGCTGCTGTACGTGCATCAAACTTTCGCACCTCTTTGTTTTTCCTGTCGTTTTTCTCCTTTGAGGTTTTTCATTTTTTCAGTCATGCAGGGGTCCTTTGATTTTTTTCACTTCAATTCTCTTCTGCTGTCTTCCTGCACAAGCTTGGGCCTTGGGTCACGCTGCACCGCCCCGACATGTGACTTGAAAGTTGTGCGTGGGGACTCGGCAAGCATCGCTTGGACTGCAAGCTGGTTTGCAGAGGCGGGTGGGACCGTTTGGTCGGAAACAAAATGTAACCGTGTAACCGACGAAGTCATGTTTTTCTTGCAGAACCGGGTTTCTGTCTGCGCGGCGGTTTGAAGATGAATGTTTCAGCAACTACATTTCTAGATGTAAATCGCTCCGTTTTTCTTGCAGTGTTAACTGATACCGTTTTCATCTTAGTCACACAATCGGTTAGGTTCGCTTTTCTGATTTTTCGTAGGAAACAGCCGGTCGCAGTCCGGCTGCAAGAGGCAGGCAGGGTGACGGTAGTTTTTTGGCGGACCTGCAGACGATGTGGAGAGGTTGTTTGCATGGAGGAGGATGGGCTGCCGAAATGAGATGGAAAAGATGCTGCGCAGGATGGAAGACAGTTGTGTTGGTCGCCGCAAGTGGCAACGGGGCAGGAACTTGTGCACGCTTTGAATTTTAACGGACGGCAGTTCTTTTTCCTCGTGTTCCCGGTGCTCCATTCTGATTTGCAGTCGTCGTCGTCACGCTGGTTGCTTACGGATATTTGCGCCAGCAGCACTCACAACTAGCTTTCAATGGAGTGTAGGGATGGTACAGTTGGGGCAGGCCTTAGAGAGGCAACCGGACAGAACAGTGAGTGCACTTGGGCAGCATGGCGAAGCCTTTTAAAGTCCTGTAAACCCCTGCCTCAAAGTCCCACTTCCCGTTGTCGCATCTACAGACCCACGAGCAACTGTACACCACCAATCTGGGGGTACAGTGCAAACAGACAGCTCTTGCGACATTTTTCAGAGACTTGAGTACAAGGACGGTGACGCGCACGGTCGCAGATTCGATCAGAGAGCATGCGTGTGCTGCGGTGCATTTTGTTCTTGAACCGAGGCTCAGTGGAAGCAGTGGGGTTTTCAGCAGTCCGAGGCGGCGAGCGGAGGAATATTTGGCTGGTCCATCTGCAAGTCAGAGCACCTGGCGTTCGGGTTCCGAAGACGGGCGGCGTCGTTGGAAGACTTCTTCCAGCAATTTAGTATCTTGCTCTTCCTCGCTCCAATCTCTCCCGTCCGTGAGCCGTACTGGGCCTGGGCCAGCTGGGGCATCCAGGGCGTGGCACCAAGGGCTTTCAAGACGGTTGGCAGAGGTGCAAACTGCTGTTCACGACTATCGTCATCGACTATTGAAGTCCCTTTGCGCCCTTTCTGATGCGGCTTGGTTCACCTGTTTGCTTTTTGTTCCGTACTTTGCATCAACTGCTGCATGCCGACGCTTTTCTAGCGGGCGCGTTCGATTCGATTGGTTGCAGGGTTCAGAGATATGAATCAGCGGATGCATAGGGAGTTCAACTGTGGCTCGACCGAGCGGCTTTCCCCTGCTGCAGCACGCTTCTCGCAACTGTGACCTACCCGCCATAATTGAGGTCAAGTCTGCACTTCATGATGCTGATGCGAGACGGCAGCAGGATGTGAATGGAGCGGAGCTATTGCTGCCAGAGGCTACGCAGCTCAATTCGACACAGGTTGTACTCCGGTCAGAGCCTGTGCTCTGCAATCAGGTGTGGGAGATCGGACGTGCCTTGCTAGACGGCGATCTCGCCCTTGCATCATCGATGCAGCTTAAGGCGGAGGAGGACAGGGTATGACAGGGTTTTCCGTAGCTTCCAGGACAGAATCTAGCCGTGTGACACGTTGCAGGAAGCACAGCTCCAACAGGATACTTGGATTGGAATGAGCCTTTCCTCTTCGCTTCGAGCTGTGGAGAACTGGGCGTTCGGCCGCGTTCTTCGGAACATACGAGATGTGATGCAACTGTGCAGTCGCATGCAGTCGCTTAGGAGCTCAAAGCCAAGCTCCGTGTGAGTTCTGCGGCTTTGGAGGTCGAGGTACCGCAGCCGCTCGCTGAGGCAGGACCAGGGAGGGGGTGAATGTTGTTGTGTCCTGGAGGCTGTGCTGGGTGGCTGTGATGAGCTCCGGGGTCGCATTGAGGAGGTTGGACATGTCGATATGTTAAACTTGCGTGAAGGCCTCTCCGCCGTGCTTTGCTGTGGAGGTGCAAAGACGCCTTCGAGAGACCCGGGGCCGAGAGTCTCAAAAACTGAGCAAGGCGGGAGCGCCGCTGAAGTGAAGGCTGCTACTGGTCAATTGCCGCTACTTCAATCAAAAAAATGCGCTGTAATGCCCTTGACGTCAATGAGGCCCAAGCGCATGCGTTGATCCGCTCCTTCACAGCTGTGCTACTCCCACAGAGCCTTCAATGCAATTAAACGACAGAGGCTGGGTTTCTCTGCCTCACAAGATCTCAGGTTGCCTCAGCTGATGCAGATCGAAGAGAACACAAGGCCACGCTTCTCTTTCCACGCGCTTCTTCCACGCACAGGGCGCAAGCTCACCGTGCCTGCAGGACTGCGTCCGAAGCAGCGGCCATTCGTTTTCTCCACGCTGCTGGGTCTGCTCAGGCCTGAAGGGAGCACGTCAGAGGAAACAGTAACTAGTGCTGGAGGATGCTGGAGGTGTGTAAAGCAAACACAGCTGTCGTTAAGGTAACGCTGAAAACTTGCACCCTGAACACCAATGAATTAAGAAGTGCCATCTGCAAGTTCAGGGAAGATGTATATTTGGGGTCGGGACTGTCGGGTTGGCAGTCCTGCTTCTTGTTCGTGCATTAGTCGTCTTTGATATTTGCGCCAGTGGCTGCTTGCTGTTGTGCTCTTAGTGCCGCAGCCTGAACACGCGCTTCAGTTGTTTCCGCGGCAATGTGTGTACGATGAACATCACCCCACTCGGACTCAGGAAGTCGATAATCAGCAGAGCATTTCTGCGACAGGCTACCCGGCCACTTCCCAACTACTTCGCCCCGTTCGATGATTTGTGATGAATTCGAAGTTGCTCGGGCTGTCCTTCTGCCCGCCTCACTCACTCACTCACTCGCTCGTTCATACGTGCCTTCAGAGCGCCTGCAAAAAGATGCGTAAACGACGGGCACCATCAAAGCCGATGTGCAGTGCTCGTAGCCTCTCTCAGACTGCGCACTCCGACGGATCAGCTGCTGGACCGAGAGGACAGGTTGTCTTGGATCCGCTGTTTTCATTGATAATGCTTGACAAGATATAAGTCGCTCTCTGTCATTGTGGTAGCTGCTGATAGCTCTTGACATCCAAGCTTGAGTTGAGGACCATCTGCTTTGGCGCAGGCAAGAGCTGCTTCTTGGAATAATGCAA